AACACCAATGGAAGCAGCGGTCAAGATATCAGACAATATATAGCACTGAGCAAATCAGCTGCAAAGGACTCTTTCAGGTGCTGAAGAGCAAAGATATGTCCTTGAAGACTAAGGTGCACCTGACATAAGCCATGGTATTTTTAATCACCTCATATGCATGTGAGAGCTGGACAATGAATAAGGAAGACTTAAGAAGAGTCGATGCTTTTGAGTTCTGGTGCTGGCAAAGAATGCCAAAAGTATCATGGACTGCTAAAAGAACTAACAGATCTGTCCTGGAGGAAGTGCAGTCAGAATGCTCTTTGGAAGAGAACGGCCAGACTTCGTCTCACCTGCTTTGGTCATGTTGTCAGAGGGGACCGTTCCCTGGAGAAGGATGTCATGCTTGGTAAGGTGGAGGGTCAACGAAAAGGGGAAGGCCCTCAATGAGATGGATTGACACGGTGGCTGCAACAATGGGCTCGGGTATAGCAGGGATTGTGGGGCTGGCACAGGACCGGACAGGGTTATGTTCAGCTGTACATAGGGTCGCTATGAGATGGAGACAACGCAACGGCACCTAACAACAGCAACGAATAATAATAATAGCCCAGTAGCTGTCAACTCAGTTCCAATGCGTGGTGACTCCCATGCATGTCAGGGTTGCCCTGCACGCCATAGGCTGTGATGTTTCAGAAGCAGCTCCCCAGTCCTTTCTTCTGAGGTGCCTGTGGGTGGGCTCAAGGTGACAGCCTTTTTCAGTATCACCCAGGAAGGAGCTCTGTCCCCAGCCATACCCAGACCCACTGCCATCAAGTCAATTCCAACTCATGTCAACCTTCTAAGACGCACTAGAACTGCCCTGCAGGGTTTCCAAGGCTGTAAAACTTCAGAGAAGCAAAGCCCAAACTAAACCCACTGTGGTGAAGTGGATTCTGACTCACAGTGCCCCCTAGAGGACAGAGTAGAACTGCCCCATGGGGTTTCCAAGACTGGACATATTTATGGATGCTGACTGCCTCGTCTTTCTCCCACCCAGCAACTGGTGGGTTCCAACCACAGACCTTTTGGTTAGCAGCTGAATGCTTTAATTGCTGCACCACCAGAGCTCCTTCCCTTAACATAATTAATGTGTATTTTAGTTGGACTCTCAGGCTGCCGGTGGAGAACAGACAGGAGGGGTGGGGATCAAGGGGAATGCTAGGATCCCAGTGAGGAGGTGACTGGAGTAGGTCCAAGTCATCTTATCTGAAGCCAACAGGGGGATGATGGTGGTGGAGCAAGTTGAGGGCTATGGAGGTGGGAAGAAGTAGTTGGATGCTGGATTTCATTGAAGGCAGAGCCCTAGATTGTCTTGGGAGAGAAAACAGGGAGAGAGATTGGCCTGAACAGCTGAGGCAGGGGCGGGCTGCAGGGCTCAGGAGCTGGGCTCTGGGAAAATGAGTTTGAAGGCACCATTAGCCTGTTGGGTGAATCAGCCGCGTGTGCAGCTGGACAGAGGCTGCGGTTCAGGGCAGAGGTTTGGACTGGGGCTGGCAGTCTAGGAGTCTCTGCCTGCAGATGGGGTTCAAAGCCCTGAACGTGAATGACATCCCAGGTGATTAGAGTCAGAGGAAGCCCAGTGAGCTCAAGGTCGAACCGGTGCAGACCAGTGATAAGATATTGAACTCCAGTCGCTGTTAGAGAGAGTCCCGTGCCCACTGCTCCGTCCACCTCACCTGTCTCCCAGCTTGCCCAAGATCCAG